CATGGTTTCTGCGGGGCTTTTTCGTATCGTGGGCAGCGAAGCCGCCGAGATCGTCATCCACCAGCTCCTCCTCCAGGTCCCCAGCGGCTGCTGCGGAAGTCGACGGCATGGGGAAGACGGACGACGGGGGCTCCTCCTCAACATCCCAGGCTCCTCCTCCAGGTCCTCCTCGTGCCCAAGGGCTCTGCCATGGTCTGAAATTGTCTGAAATTGACTGAAATTTTTATCTTCTCTGTCTGAAATTACCCAAGGTTTACAGTAGTGGTTAACTGGACATTTGTTACAGTAAGGATTTGATCTTAGCATTGGTTACAGCAAGCTAAAATTTGATCTTAGCATTGGTTACAGTAAGGATGTTAGTAGTGATTACAGTACTGTGAGCTTGTGCTTTGTGGTACATTTCTGCATTTCTGCAGGCTCCTCGCCGGCTCCTCCATTTCTGCAGGCTCATCTTTAGGTACAGACATGATGTCCTGAGCCGACTGTTCTTGGTGCTCCTCTATCATCTGGTCCATCTTTAACTTCAGACATCTCTGGGGCTTCTTGTCCTCCATATCTTCAAGCAAGACATCGGATTGTTATGTCAAAATGATCTGGTCTCTTTCTGTTTGTTTACCATCTTGCAGTCAGCTCTCACAGAATATTGTCACTACTGTTAAAACTGAAAACTGAGCATGTACTCATCTCTGTAATGGATGCAGATACTGCTAAATCTGGCCTGAATTTGCTGCTAATGCTAGAACATGCTCAACACTGCCCTGTTTCAGTCTTGTTTTTGCAGAACTGAAGCAATTTACTGGCACCATTTTGCATCTTGCCATTACAGTACAAATTCCCACCTGCTCCCCTGTTTCTTGGTCAAAACTGAATGTTGAACGCACTGGGAATGTTGACAGAGTTTTGGTCAAAACATTAGATGATGTGAGCCTTTTCAGCTATCCAAAGTTTTAGCCGTATTGCTTGTCAAATCATAACACACACACACACACACACACACACACACACACAGAATTTACTGAATCATGCATGATTCAGTTAACTGAATTTACTGTCAATAGCTGTCAATTGCATGATTCAGTTAACTGAATTTACTGAATCAAATTACAGAAGTTTGCACAGTTATTAAAACTGAAATATTCAGTTAACTGAAATTACCAAAAAATTCTGTAACTGAACAGTTTTCTTTAACTGAATTCAAATGAGATCATATTTGTATTCTAGTTTGCCTCGAGTTCTGTTACTGAACAATTTACTTTATTTGTTTTCTAGTTTGCCTTCTCCATCTTAAATGAGAACATATTTCAAATTCAAGTAATAACAGCAGACAACAAAAAAAACAGCAGCAGCACAGTCCATACATGATTTATTTCCATACATGCACTCCATGTTTCCAATAAACCAGCAGCAGCAGCTCTTGGTCAAGTATATGCAAACCAAGATAACCAACTTACAGTGAGAAACCAAGATCACTGGTGGTCAGGTTACATCGCTCCCCCTCTCACCACAAAAGAAAAAAAGGACAGATTGAAGTATACCCACATTGCATCTGGATTTAATAATCATCTTAAATAGGTAATACTCTAGGTTGTCTATTCAGCCAATGTAAGCATTTATAGGTTGATATAACTTGTGCATTCATCCCCTGCTTTTGGATTCTGCAGGCAAGTTTGGTGAAGTGTTGGTTTTTTTACTTTTACTGCTGTGTAAGTGCACATTCCTGTTGTAGATGGCAAATGAACAAGAGAATAATCATACACTTGTTTCAAATAATCATACACTTGCTCTAAAATTGCAGGTCGCCATTGGAATGGATGTTGATGCCTCGGAGTTCTACTAAACTTCAAGGTAAGAATTCATCTCCAGTAGAGGTTTTATTCGGACCATGCAGTGTAAAATTCAGAATATGCAGTGGGCATTTCTAGTTTCAGAGACGATTACAGGAGTTTCAGTGTAAAATTCAGAATTTACAGTGAATATTCAGAATATGACATGAGTACTGTCAAAACAAGGCTGTGACTCTGTTTCAGAGATGATTACCGAATGAATTCGTTTGCTATGCACAACTAGTTTGCACTTGGTTTCAGAGATGGTTACTGTCAAAATAATGACTCTGTTTGCACTTAGCACTTAGTTTCAGAGATTGACCCTGTGTTAGGCAGGATTTGATTGATTGTTCTCGGAATTGATTGTTTCCTCCCTTGATTAACTGGGCAGTGCGAATATCCTAATGTTAACAAGGCAGGATTTGCTTGATTGGGCAGGAAAATTACCTCAACTCCCGCGGCGGCGACGGGGAAGGAACAATGGCGGCGGCCCTCGATCGGGCGCGCAGTCGTCTCCAGGCGGGGAAGGAGCAACGGCAGCCAGGGACTTGCCCAACTCCCCCACCGGATTGGGTGGCTGCGGCGGCCGTGAGGAAGTGACCAGGGACGCGACCAGGGCGACGAGGAGGAGGCGCCCGTCAGCCATGGAGCCACCGCCCATGGAGGTGGTCGCCGCGTAGGTGCAGGTGGGCGGCGGCCAGGTGGGCAGAGGCGGCGCAGCTGGGCAACGGTGGTGCAGCTGCGCGGCTGCACCGGCTGGGCCCTACTGCCGGCTGGGGGAGGAAGAAGCAGAGAGGGGGGGTTGATTATCAAGAGATTTAAAAAGCTAAGGTCCTTTTTGCAAAACTGCAATTGCACTGCGCCCGCGCCAATAATTTCAGAACGGAGGGACTCATGTATGGGAGAACCAACATTCAGTCGAAACCGATGAAAACCATGAGACAAAGATGTTTTGAAGTTTCGAAAAAATCAGAAAAAAAAATCGGGATGTTAAGAGGATGATGTTTTATTGCCATACAAAATTTCAATTTGAAACACATTACGAGATGTGAGCTATGAAAAAGACAAAATCAGCGTTGAATAGTGTCGAATAGTAATGTCACTATTCGGGGCTGAATTTGTCTTTTTTGTAGCTCACATCTTGCAATGTGTTTCAACTTGAAATTTTGCGTGGCAACAAAACATCACCTTCCTAACATCCCATATTTTTTTAGATTTTTTCAAAACTTTAAAATATGATTTCCACGAAGTTTTTTATCGAACGTGGCAACAAAACATGCCGCACCGTTTGATTACAACCTTGATCTTGTGCGGAGACTCGTGCAGGCATTGTGGTTTTGAAATATTGCAACCCTGGGGATTCCAGCAGATAACCTGCAGATTTACACGATAGTACACGACGAGGCAGACTAGATTGCATCTATCTACGTACTCCCTGATTCATATGACTATTTGTCTTAAATTTGTCTAGAC